TAGAGACTTTTAGATTTGCGTGGACTGATACATGTGATGTCCTTTGAAGGCAGTGCATTAAAAGGACATTGATCGTAGCAATCCACGTTGTTGTTCGGCAAATCTTAGGCTCTATGATTTTGCGGGACAAACGTTCTTGTATTAACATAAAATAGAACCTTTTTTTTTTGTTTTGTTTTTTTTTGTTGTGGAAAACCAAAGATTTTTCAAACATTGTAATTTGCCCCTTTAAACGAAATATAGAGCACTCTCTTCATCACTGTTATTCCTGCTGTGAATTGAACTGAGTGCTTCTTGTCTCTCCATAGGGGATGAACCAATGGTCAGCGTTTATCAGTAGCCATGGTAACGTTGCAGATTTTGCACTGTTTGTTACCTGCAAAGTTTAGTTGAAAATAATGAATGATCATGAAGAAATTGGTCTATTCATAAAGATGTTTATATAATATTTTACAATACACCTGTATGACAAAGCCATCTTTCATCTGCTTTTAACATATGTGTCTTTTCAATGTTTCAAAGTAATCATGCACATACATGTAGTCACATACAGTGTACATGCATCAAAGTCAAGGGAGATACTGCCCTTTTTATTATGGGATTAAAAAGTGTATAAGTGCACTTTTATCATGATATCAACTCTACCTCACTTTGGCACACACCTGTTTGATCCCCCTCCTCAAGGGGGATTACCCCTGGACCGTAGTCCCTTGACTGGTCTTGGATTCCATATTCCATCTCATGGCTTGACCTAGATCTTACTATCCTGGTCTAGATCAAATTAGCCCAAGCATACCTCTGAGAGGAAAGTGATACTCAAATCTTGACTTTGCATTCCTAAAACAAAGCTCATGTTATCAATTCCAATAAATATATTGACCTAATTGTTGAAAGCAAGCTATGGAAAAGTGGGTCTCTGATTTATCCAGATTATTCTTACTAAGCTTCAGCTGCCAAGTACAAAACTCTACCAATTTCTGTGTTTCGTTGTGAAATTTTAGAATATTGCAGTTTTTCTGCAAAAATTCTGATTTGTCATCCCGTGTCTGTGTCATCTATGGTACACTACAAATGAGAATGACTGATTCCCTCAACAGAATACTGATTTTCAGCCACTGAAATATTAAAATTTCCTGGTGAAAGATGGCATATCCGTTTCTGTTTATTTTGAAACATACTCAAGTACATGTACACTTGAACTTGTCAATTCTGCTCTTCTATATTTAGCTTTTTGAAAATCTCTTGTCTTGAAACTTTAGGGTAGATTACATTTTGAAATCTTTGTGAACACAGAGCCATTTATGAAAAGAGAAACCTTATTTTTGAAATGCATGGCCACAGGCCCAATATCTCTTGCTTATGCCTCAAAATGTAGTAACCCAATTATTTTGATAGCAAATGGAGCAAAAGGAAGTCTTCCAATCAAATGCACAATGTCTACTTAGAGCCAGAAGGGCATTAACTCCTACTGTTACACGGAGCTAACACCCTTCTGGCTCTCAACAGAGAACAGGATTCCCTCAGGTATGAGCCATTTATAGTTCTCATTAAATGTACATGTATGTCTTCTGTTAAGAACCAGAAGGGCTTTCGCTCACATACACTGCATAGATTTTATGTTCTTCTTGCACACTCCTGACAATATGACACCCCCAGGTGAGAGCCATTTTGAAGTACAGCTCGGTAAAGGAATTTATGCACTTCTTGTAGTTTTCTGAATTTTTCTACCAGATCACCCAGAGGGTTTGATTATGAAAGCACTTCTTCCACTCTGGGCACTCCATACTAACTCCATTGCTCTGATCATATAAGCAGGTGTAATTAACCATCCCTTCAGGGGCCAGAGTGCATTCACTTGGACCCCTGTCACACCGAACAAAACTGTCCCAGACTGAGGTTCTCCAACGACATGCCCTGGGCCTGGCTACAAATGTTTGATGGTCAATGGAGTATCAAAGTGTGAATGTCATACTGGCCAAGTTGTCAAGGTTGCTGGTTCAAAACAAATGTTGTGCTAAACAATGGTGTGGTGCATGGTCACACCAGCATCAAACAGTAAATTTGCCTGGCTCCAGTCAGTTGCTTGAATGGTTTTGCGGTGAACCTCATGCACAGGCTGTTGTTTAGAACCAGTAACCTCGATGGCAAGCGAATATATGACATTAGCTCCATGTTCTGATCTGACCAAACTTCATAGCTTAAGTTCTGGACCAAACTTTATACCTACATACATGTTTACAACAAGTAACTACAACGCGAACCCTTTCAAAATTAACTGCATGTACATGTATATACCGCTAATCGTAACCCTATTCTTTGACGAAAAAAGCCTGAAGTGAGGTCAACTTACTGAAACCTCTTTTTCAACCCTTTAATTTTTAAAGAAGCTTTTCCATAAATTTGACAGTTTTGACACCAATCCCAATCCCTTTTTTCCCTACCGCAACCCCACTGACCCAAGACATGTTTGGAGGGCAGCTTTCTATTTTTTTTTTTTTCTATTTTTGGTCACGGTGGCTTAAGATTGACGTAATCCGCACGCAGGTGAGGTGTCAAATTCTTAGCCGCAAGCTACCTGTGCATATACCTGGAGTATTTATACCTAGCCATTACATCTGACCCAATATCATGAAGTGGTCCCTGGTCACATCAGAAAATGGTCCACTATCTCTTGGCTTACAGGCCCACTGTACTACTTTTAGCTACTTGCTCCCTCTCTATATAAACAATGCCTAATCCGTGACCATTGGTCGCCCAAGATCCTCTTTTTCTTATGTTAATTGAGAGCTGAGTTGATGAGATAGCCACCTGTCAGTGACCTTCCTGGGTGGTCTAATCCCTCCTAGCCAAACTAGTACAGATGCCCTTTAAAAGTGATATCAGTTAACAAACTTCACTCTAGGGTTTCCCCGATAAGAAGAACCACTAGAAAGTGGCCCCAAATACCTGTGATTTTGGTGTAACAGGGGTCTTTTCTTTTTTGGAGGGGTGCGATGAGTCAGAAAGTGACACGCTCCGGGCAAACGACTATCATCTATAATTCCTTCTGGTCCAGTGAGTCATACCGGTGGAGTAGATTTCACCACCGTTTGACCACGCCGATTTCAATTTCCATCCTTGAGTGAACCTAACGGGTAATTATGGCGCAAGTGTCCACTTGTGTGAAGGTCATGCGATGCAATCAATGATTTGAGTGGAATTGATCCACAGAAGTGGATGGCAAAGCTCAATGAAGAAATTGGGAGGGGACTCGGTTGATGAATTACCTCATCTCATTTTCAGGTTATCATGGATTAATTTCTATATTTATAGGCATGTCCTCTGCAGGGTTCAGGGACATAATATTTTACCTTCACAATATGTAAGGTTGATCAACTCAAAAGAACATCATTTGTTGGATACTTTAACTCAGAGTTAGTGCCCTTCTTGATCCTAACCAATGACATGTTTTCTGTCAGTTGTTTGCCACTGTTTTCGTTGATATGTATATGTACTTCTTGCATAACCTGAACAATATCTGTAATTGTGCAGTGAAAAATGCTAGCATTTCACACAGAACATAAGCAAGAACAGAACAGTATCATCTACTGATAAGAACCTCATGTCAAATATAATAAAGAGTCTTTTGCTTTCGAGATGAAAATTAATTACTGAAGTTTATTAGATACATGTCTGCCACCTTACCTGTTATTGCAAGTATCTACTGAGCTCCTATTGACTAGACTTATTAAGAGTGATAAATTATATGTACAGTATGTACTTACCCTGAACATCATTCTATTATCACCAAGAACAGAAACAGAAACCTTGTTATTTCACCTATTTTCAAGAGGATAATAAATGTATGTGACATTGCATCAAAAATTAGCTGATTTCCTAATACTGGACTACTGGTACTAGAGCACACACAGGCCTAATATTCCTCCAATCAATGATGGTTTTAATGTGAAGGTACATAGATATACGTACATATATACATACATACTGTACATGTATATACAAGTAATTTGAAGGTACATACATGTAAGTTTGTTCATCCTGTTTCTTGTTATGAAGATGCTTAGAATGCAAGCAAGAACAATTCAGAGAAACTGATGGGTGGAAATTAATCTTAGCGACAGTTTGGTGAACAAATTCATAATGCAGATTCATACTAATAGTTCATTCTCATAGAAATCTGACAGATAGTTCAATAAAAAATTAAATTTTAGATGATTAGAAATATTAGTAATTTTGTATGAAAACTACAATGGATGAATATTCATGATACTGTTTCATCACCTGATACCTAGAAGGGCATTGATTCATGTATTTTACACTGAGTTAATGCCTTTCTGGCTCTAAATATATTTTTAGGACCAGCTGTAATCTTTTCTTTTGAAAAATAATAATAGTCACATTTGTACAGCGCTTAATACTACGTTTCAAAGCGCTTTACATTGTAATTATTATTACCCCAGTCATTGAATTCAATTTCTAAAGCCATTCCTCAGTAACAGATTATTCTGTTCAATATGATAGACAGGGATCATAAGGGGAGGATATTTGAAAGAGATTCATGATCTGAAGCAGATATCCACTCTACAGTGATATTACAATGTATATGGCGGACTGGCTTTTGAGGGAGATGTGACACTATATGACCTTACTGTAATCATAAGTTGAAGATGAGGGCAGTATGAATTATTTGGGGGCATCATGAATGATATAAGGGCATTTAAGTCTTTTGACATGCTCAAAAATGATTAGGCCAATGTCATTATTATTTATGATTTAAAATAAACTGTCTACAGTGTATATTATTATAATATCACTTACTGTATATCATGTCAGGCACAGGTAGACAGGCAAAATTCCTAGATCATCTAGATGTGAGATTAAAAGGGGATAGTTTTGTATTGCCTGCTGCCAAAGTACTTGTACGACACATGTCTATGCATTCTAGACCCTCACATGCAAAAACCCCTAATAAAAATCTTTTGTATCTATTTTGTAACTAGCTTGCCTCTATGGACGTTCGATCCAGCATAGCTCAGGATGGATCACGTTGGGATATCATTGAGGACCTGGATCTCTTCTACTTCAGACAGCTTGCTGTCAGTCTACAGGTAAGCTCAGGATTCATCCGTTGAGAGCCAGGGGGGAGGGGGGGGGGATGGGGGGGGAGGGGGAGGGGGGGGGGGGGGGGGATGGGGAGGGGGAGGGGGAGGCTCAAGCCTCTATGGACGTAAGATCCAGCATAGCTCAGGATGGATCACGTTGGGATATCATTGAGGACCTGGATCTCTTCTACTCAGACAACTCGCTGTCAGTCTACAGGTAAGCTCAGGGTTTCATCCGTTGAGAGCCAGGGGGGTAGGGGGAGGGGGCTCAAGCCTCTATGGACGTTCGATCCAGCATAGCTCAGGATGGATCACGTTGGGATATCATTGAGGACCTGGATTTTTTCTACTTCAGACAACTCGCTGTCAGTCTACAGGTAAGCTCTATAGGTCTGTCTTCATCAGCTCAAGATTGCCAAATAGCCCTCTATTTTAACTATCCCGCTATTTCAACTATCCCGATCGCAAATTATCCAGTTAATTTGCTCCTTCATCAGCCTAAAGTTGCAATTAGCGGGATATTTGGTTGAGATATAAATCATCCCAAAATATGTTGGGCTAGTTTGTAAAATATCCCGCTATTTGTCCGGTGCGTTTTCACCAGCCCGAAGATTCGCACTATATATAAATATCTCGAGCTAATTTCTTGAGGTCAAGGTTCAAGTTTTGAGGTCGAGTCTCAAGCTGATGAAGACGTGATTTGTAACTTCTGGATTATTTCCCAAATCAGAAATGGCGGGCTATTTGGCAATCTCGAGCTGATGAAGACATACTTAGTGTTTCATCTGTTGAGAGCCAGAGGGGATGGGCTCAAGCTCCCCTCCCCCCATTTCTTCATCTCTCCCTTATTTTCTTGATTAGGAATGGATTTAAGCAAAGCACATGCAGAAAATAAATGCAAGAACCTTGAGCCCCCTCCCCCAAGCCCACCTCCCTAATTATTCTAGAACAGTGCTGAAGCCTGAAGTATATGTACACATTATTTGGTAGCTGATGGAAGAAAAGATGATGGATTTGTGAAATTGAGGCATTTTCTTCTAATGGAGGATGACTGAGATAGGGAATGAAAGGAAGGAGGAAGATATACACAGTTATATAGAGAAATGAGAGGAAGGAAATAACACCTAAAAATTCTGCTTAAGAAAAATAAATAATAACATATGTGCTGATCTGACGGCAGTTTAGCTTTTGAAAGTTTAAACAAAATAGCTGAAGGGGGGGGGGGGGAATGTTAGTTACATTTTAGATAATTATTACCACTTCCATAGAAATTCATGAACCCACCCCTCCCCCTCCAAGAGAAGAACAAACCTCTGAGCACTTTTTTTTCTTCAAACTATCGTTGTTTCACTGTGATTGATGACTGAGAATGAAAATAAGTTGAGTACAATTTACTCTCTCTTTGTAGATTAAATGTACTCTGGAGTAAAGCCATTTTTCACTTGACTGACTTACAAAAGGCATTTTGAAATATAGATAATGCACCTATTCTGGAATTAAAAAAGGTAATTTACCTCAAACAAATTTGTTGAGCTTACAACTTTTAAAAGAAGCTTTGTCTGAAACCATTAGCTCTCTATTGAGAGTCTGTGTTCTTCCATGTGCAAGTGTAAAGAATACAATGATTGAGTTTCAATGTGGCATGTTGAAATGCCATTATCAAGGCACTGATGTGATTATTAGATCACCGCTTCTTACTTACTAGGCCTGTCTTCATCATCTCGAGATTGCCAAATAGCCCGCTATTTCTGATTTGGGAAATAATCCTGAAGAAACAAATCGCATCTTCACTAGCTCGAGATTTGACCTCGAAACTTGAAACTCGACCTTGAGAAATGAGCTCGAGATATTTTGCTCAGCGTTAGCGCGTATTGCGAATCTTTGGTCTAGTGAAGACGCACGGGACAAATAGCTGGATATTTTGCAAACTATCCCAAGATATCTTAGGATGACAATCCTGACCAAATATCCTTCTAATTGCTACTTCGGTCTGATGAGGACGCAAATTAGCTGGATAGTTTGCGATCGGGATAGTTCAAATAGCTGGATATTTGGCAATCTCGAGATAGTGAGGACGCGCCTACTGAAAAGGGTTTACAGAATCCTGCTGACAAGTCATTAAAAAGCCGCATGATTGATTGACTGTGAGAAGAAGTGTTTTACATTCATCAATCAACGAGTAAAATGAGGCCTCATTCACATTATCAAATTAAGAATGATTCAGAAGAAGTGGGAGTAAGTGCCGCTTATAATATGAGAAGAATGGGGTCCCATTCACTGTTTGATAAGTGAGAATGATTTAGAAGTTCAGTGGGAAGAAGTATTGTGCATTCATCAATCATTGAGTAAAATGAGGCCCCATTCACACTTAGAAATTCATGAGAAGACCCCTTTGAAAAAGATTCAGAAAAACTTTGGAATCAATGTTGTATATTCATGAACCAATAACCAGTGAGTAGAATGGAACCCCATTCACACTCAGAATTTGTTAGAGGGCTCCTTTGAAGAAGATTCAGGAAAACTTTGGAATCGATGTTGTATAAAATTCATTAACCAATAACCAGTGAGTAGAACGAAACCCCATTCCCACTCAGAATTTTGTAAGAGGGCTCCTATTAATCAGAACTGTTCAAATACAGTAAGTGTTGCTTGCACTCATCAGGCCCCATTCACATCTGAGAAATAAGAATGTATTAAAATCATGGTTTTGTGCGCCAAGGGAACCTTTTTCAGGCAGATGTGTTCACTAGGACTGTGCACTATACATGTACATATCCAAATTATTCTTACTGTTAGTTTATGTCAGAAGAAGAACTTCAGGAACAGTCATTGGATGGAATAAGGCCCCATTTACATTTATATTTGCAAATAATAGTACCCCTAGGTATAATAAAAATGCATGACGTGGGTGCCTGTCCATGTTGAACTCTTTAGATGAATTGTGGGAAAGCTATTAAAGGTACAGCATTGTATGGAAGAAAAAAATTGTGATTCAGAAACAGTTAGTATTATTGCATACATGTAATTGCCCAGTACCACACTAAAATTATGTTCTATTGGCAGAATTATCAAATTTACAAATACCAGTACTCAAAATAGCGGTTAAAATTATGGGCCTCCAATGTTTGTATTATATGTTTAACAGTATGCTTACTAAATTTTACCAAGTATTTGCCAAATCATAACAAATCTTTACCAATTTTTTCCCAAACTTTTACTAACATGCAAAATACAATTTGCATTGCTTGATATGCTAGCAATGATTACTTAAATGATTCCAAACCAAAATACTTATTTTAGAAGTAGAATTGAATCAAGCAATTCCAAGAAAGTGAGTCTACCCAATATCAATGTATTTTTTTATGAGATGCAAGCAGTCCCCTTAATGCCTAGCGCATTGCACGAAATGAAATGAAATTTTCAAGGCACCACCAAGATGTGACAAGAACCAATAATATGTTAGTGCCCTTGGATGTATGATTATGACCTGAGCTGTCTCCCATCTTCTCTCTCTCTTCATCTCTCTTTCTCTCTCTCTCTGTTCACATCTCTTGTTCAAATTGAAGTCAATTTGAAGAGCTCTGGGCACTGTCAGAAGCTGCATACATAAAAGGGTGCATTTTGTAAGAAATAATCTTAAATTTTTTATGAATATGCAGCCATTACCTCAAACATATTTAAAGGAGGATGCCTAGGCACACAGGTTGTTAAATGCACACTGTATATCAATTATAATATAAGATGCAGAGTTTGAACTATTTTGATTAAAGACTATTAAATTAATAAGCCTATTAAAGTAAAAAACATGTTTAGCATCCCTGTCTGCTCCCTTTTTAAAGGCCGCCTGCTTTTTTTCTTCTCTTTTTTTTAATGTAAAGACATGAAAAACATACTGCTAAAATGATCTTCATCTGAGAATTGCTGGCTTCTTCCTTTTATGATAGGTTACTTTACAGTTGATGCCAAAAATCTTTGTGACCTGAGCTATACGATCACGTTTTGATTGCACATGTCTATGGTTATTTTTTTAAATTACAATCCATGTCACAGACTGTCACGTAGCAAGGGCTGTGTAAATACAGTATGTACAGTATATGTTCCATAATAAAAGTCTGCCCAGAAAAAGGTCTCCTTAAGAAGCTTGGTACCATATGAAAGTCAAATTACAGATTTACATCAGCGTGTCCGTGGTTCCTGATGGCGGTTATTAAAAGTTTGATGAACACTGCCCAGTCAAGTTGATTACCCTTCTCAGTATCGAGGGTTGTCTTGTGTCACATTATGCAGCATGGATTGGGAGATTACAATGAGCTTTGAGTGAAGGTCTACATGTACAATGTATGTGGTTGGCATCACAGAATGATGGTCAATTCATGTGGTTTTGGTAGGAAGACTGTATTTCCCTTTTTTATTTAATACATTATTTCCTCCTGTTGCTCTGAAACTTCCTTATTAAAATCATTATAGATATTCTCTCTGACATTTCAAGATTCCTCTCTAATTCCCTTTTAACCATCTGTTCTCTTAATTTCCTGATTTGCTATAGATACAGAGTGTGCATAAAAATATTGCTATGCTGTAAATCAGTAGGGCATTCTGTAAAATTCAAGATACTCTGATTACTTTCAATATAAAAAGCTTTTCAGTCTACCGGTAGATAATATATTTTGGCCCTTTTCACCAGGTTCACAACATATTTTCATTTCTAGGGCCAAAAAAAAATGAAACAAAACCATATACAGGTACACACAGTTCTTTAATTTTCTACTGACAATTCAAACTTGTCAACTTCTGTTTTTATTCTTATCTTTCTTTTTATTTAGCCTTTATCTATGTTGGGGGTCATTTTTCTTTTTGCGGTACATGTACTTCATTTTGATGCAATTTTTGTTTGAAGAAAAAAAATTAAAGTTGTGTAGGTATTCAATTTTTTTTAAAAATGCATACATTTCTTGTTTATTTCAAAAGGACTATGACATGCAACAGAAGATCGACCTGGAGATCAAGATGAGAGAGGGCACGCGGAAGCTCCTCGTGGCTTGCAAGAGGGAAGCCCAGAGCCTGGAAGCAGCGAAAAACCTGCTCACATCCAACGTGCGCGTCCTCTCGTACATGTCAGAGCTCCAGCGACGCAAGACGGCAGAGTTCGCGGATCGGGCGGCGTCGCGGAAGATCAAGAGCGCCGGCAGTGATTCGGGCGTAGAAGCGGAAGCAGGAGGTGATGTGATTGAGCCGTGTAGAGCTACAGTGTGTGTCTCAGGTAAGGAATGGGAGAAGTAAAGAAAGATGATACAAGTCCAAAGATTGATAATGAGGTAGATTTTAATAGGAAAGTTCACTCTGATATAAAGTTAAGGGTAAATGGAGAGAAGATATGCGCAAGATACGTTACAGAATTGCCAATTTGTGTTTGATTGATTGCAACTTTGAAAATTAATAACTTTCTTTTTTTTAACCAGATTTTGCTCAAACTTTCACTGACCTTGTTTCTCTAAATTTTCTCTAAACTTAATATCAGGGTGGATTTCCCCTTTAATGATGTAAGCCAGTGTAGAATTACACAATTCATCCAAGAAAAGTTGGAAGAAGTAAATATATGTTGCAAGGACGATAAATCATGATCTTTTGAAGGTACTACAATATTTCTAACTTTACCGTAATTAACAGTGTATAAACCGCACCTTTTTGCCGCCAAAAAAACTCAAAGTCGTTTTTTTTTTTTTTTTTTTTTTTAAGTCTCGATTTATGCCCCTCCATCTGGTGCTATGCCTGGCAATGTCTCCCAGCTCTGTAATTGGTGTGTTGACTCACCACTCGGAAACTAAAACAACACTTATTTATGTTTTTTATTTTTATTTTAGATTTACGAATTCCCCTTATGTTGAGAGGCGTGGACCATATCAAGAACAAAGGAGGTAAAAATAATATCACTCTGTCCTTTTCTTCTGTATTCCCATATTTGTACAGACTTCATTCTAAACATTGTAAAGAGTCAAATTTGCTACTGTGTGTGGTGACATCCTTTGTATTAAGGCAACTTGCTGTGAGTGTCTGCCTTTTAGATACCCCTAATAGGTACTCTATATGTGGTGCTTTATAAAATAGCATTTAGTTTAGCTTCATATATATATATATATATATATGCCAATGGAATATGAAATTAACATGTTATGGGCTCTATAATTTCTACAAATTACAATATTTGTTGTTGTCTCGTGTTAATTCAAGGTTTTTGTTTGGTTGTGTTTACCAGTATTCTGTTTGATTATGTTTATTAATTTTGTAATAAGTACAGTGGACCAGAATATGCCCTAAATCAATTTAATGTTTCTTTAGGTTCTCTTCAGTTTAAAAGAACAAGTTAAACCATTCAGTGAACCCACTAAAGACTATGATACAAATATCATGTGCATGTACATCTACTACTGCTGATCTGTTACTATAGGCGTGTCTGCACTATCTCGAGATTGCCAAATATCCAGCTATTTTGAACTATCCCGATCGAAACTATCCAGCTATTTGCGTCTTCATTAGACCGAAGTGGCAAATTAGCTGGATAGTTGGTCGGGATAATATCCCAAGATATCTCGGACTAGTTTGCAAAATATCCTTCTATTTCCGAACTAGCGGGATAGTTTGCGACCGTCTTCATTAGACCGAAGTACGGAGTCAATTATCCCGATCCCATCATGCACAACGATTTCCGGTTCGCACATGCGATCTATACCGCTCAGCGCTGACCTCGCAACCACTGACCTCGAGTAAACACGGAAAACCGCAGACTAGACCGAGATATCTTGGGATATTATCCCGACCAACTATCCAGCTAATTTGCTACTTCGGTCTAATGAAGACGCAAATAAGCTGGATAGTTTGCGATCGGGATAATTCAAATAGCTGGATATTTGGCAATCTCGAGATAGTGCAGACACGCCTTATGTCTTGGTTACCCAGGGTAGCTTCATCAGTACTTACTATTAATACTATTCTCCCCGAGGGCCCTGCAGTAATATTATTACCCTGGCTTCAGCTTGGCTTTTATGACACTGCTCAAGCGTCAAGCAGCCTTTTCACACACAGCTAAAATTCATCGTATCTAGAGATGATTAGAATCACTCAACAGTTTTAAACATGTTTATAGACAAAATTTCCCAGTGTGAACATCGTTTATACGATGTTGGGATAGATACGAAGTCGCGATCCATACGCCCCTAAAAGCAGGCTGCAGATACGAAGTTCGTATCTAGAGAGCTTGACATTTTGTGTGTGAAAGGAAATTCGTGTTTAAACGTGTTTAAACTGGATGGAGCGTGCGCTTTGATTGACATGACATGACATGACCTTCAATGCGCAATGGCACTACTGCGCATTTTACGAGCAGTAGTTAATCACGAAACTATTAACGATCGCAACGAAATTTCTGTGTGTAAAAAGGCTCGTGATTAGTTTAAACACGTTCGAAACACGTTTATACTAGTCATGTTTATAGAATTTTAGCTGTGTGTGAAAAGGCTGAAGGATGAAACTCATTTGAAATGCGTGTTCAATGAAATAAAGCAGTCTCTAACAAGTTGAACTATTTGATTTCATTTTAAAAAAAGTCTCACTTCTCCCCATCTCTGGAAAATAAAACTTGAAATTGCCCTGAGAAGAAAATCTTCGCTATTGAAATTAATCAAGTGTTCTCATGGGCGAAAGAAAAGAAAAAGGAAAAGAAGGCAATTTGTGATTCAGCTAACATGACTGATGATAATCACCATGCCGTCACTCACAAAGAAGAAGCCACATAATGCTGCCCTCCCTCCCCCATCCCCCCCCCCCCCGCCCCTCCCCGCCCCTCATGGGCCCCACCCCCACAATACATCACATCTTTTCCACACCTCATTTAAGAAGATTCATGCCCAGGCTCATTGTACCCCTGTCATAGAAGATTTCCCCTTTCTTTCACCCCTGTAATGGCTTCATGCGTACCCCACAATGGATTTAACCACAATGGTTTAAAGAAGTGCTTTTTATTGTATAAAGTGCAATGTGATTTGGATATTGAATGCCTCTAGCAACACCTCTTCAATTCAAACTGGGACTGTCAATTTGTAAGATTGTATTTTATTAAGATTATTTTTCTGAAATTTTTCCATTTGTAAGTTTCTCAATAATCTGCATTGCGTGTGTGACAGTGGCAATAAGATCTGTTCAGTATTTCAAACATTTGTGAACCCTAAAAAGTGGGGAGTACAAGGCCTAGTTAGGAGACATATTGTTTTTTTGTACTAAATTATTAAATCACTCCATATAAATCTTTAAAGACAGTATTAAAAGCACAAACATTATTGTTTATACATGTACATGTATTCTAACAATGCAGCTGCTGAGCATTCTTTATGTATATATATATATATATATATATATATAAAACCCTACATGGTACATTAAGTGGACATCATAAAAATCCTAACCCTAACCCTAACCCTAACCCTAACCCTAAAACCTAACCCTAAACCTAACCCTAACCCTAACCCTAATGTCTACTTAATGACTCATTTTTTTCACTCCCAATGTCCTTTCAATGACGCCTTTAGTAAAATTACATATATAGAGAGAGATATATAACAAAATTGGGCCTTCCACGAGAAATAAAACGTAAAAAACGTTAAGAGGACACCAAATTGTCCTCCTAATCACAATGTCTACTTAATGACTCATTTTTCACTCCAAATGTCCCTCTAATGATGCCTTTAGTAATATATATATATATATATATATATTTATATACACCAGACAGACGGACAGACAATATGACATTTCACACCCCATCTCCTTAATTAGAAAAATGATGGGTACCAATAACACTATTAGAACCATTGGCAATTTTCAAGCATGGAAGCTTACAATTTTTTTATAATGAGTTTATAACTGCAGCTGCTGAACAGTCTCTTTAAATATGCCAGACAGGCAATGTGACATTTCACACCCTATCTCCTTGATTAGAAAAATGATGGATACCTTTTCCTAACACCACCAGAACCATTAGCAATTCTAAAGCATGAAAGCTTGCAAACTTCTCCTTTTTTAATGAGTATATAACTGCAGCTGCTGAACACTCCCTTTAAATATGCCAGACAGACAATGTGACATTTCACACGCTTTCGCCTTAATGAGGGAAAATCATGGGTAACTTCTCCCTACACCATTGGCAATTCTCAAGCATGAACGCGAGGACAGGTGGATAAGGTAAAGCTAAATTGATCTAACGATCGCTTCCTTTGTGTGTAATACCGATTCAAATCTGACAGCTACATGAATGCCTGCCTTACACGCACCCACGATTTGTGTTTGCTTAGTTAATGTTGCCCATTGACGTTTGTTTACCCTTGATTGTGTCGATGGAATGCTTTTTGACATCCAGTGAAATGTAATGTGGTTGAACATTGCATAGTATCACATATGAATACATTTGTTTGATTAAAAAAAAAGATCAAATTCCTCAAAATGATATGAGCTGTATTTCAACTACATTTCAGCAATTAGTAGGTGTGTATAATGTCACAGACCCTAGCTAGCTTGATGGGTTTTTTCTTTAAATTTGAGTATATAAATGTTAGGTATAAAATGTGTTCTGAGAGAGCCTGTTTTACATTAGTTTCTAGAGGTGTATGGATATAAATGATTCAAAATACATCCCCATATCTTGTTTTCGATGTCAAACACTCCTTCTTTCTTCATATGATTCTTATTTAGTTTGGTTCCCCAGCAATCTGTTATTTACTTTTTATAAAAGAGAGAGAGAGAGAGAGAAAAAAACAAAAAACAAGAAAGCCCTTCAAACAAGACAGATACCCAGCAAAACGGAGATGGCCCAAGACATCCTCATCATATATCATTCTGACACGTTTGTGTATTTTACTTTCTCTTAAGAGACAAATGACTTCCCCTACTCCCAGGGCATGTACTGCATCTCTAACGAGCTCTGATGAGCTGAAGATACATGTAAATCATAACAGAATAGCCATCATTGGCCCGTCCAAGCGCCCATTGCATAAACAGGAACACCCCATGATAAACGATATGCCCCTCTGCAGACGAAATCGTGACATATGCTACCGTTCTTTCCAATTTATGAAAGTAAACAAAGTTATTTGACCAGACACAGCTTGAGCGTGACTCAGTCAGGATAGGTTTCATCCTTAAATAATGAGCTTTATTGCCATGCCAACCAACACCTGCCTTGTTTATGACTGTTTCTAATGTTTATCTATGTTTCTAATGTTTCTCTATGTTAATTCTTTCTTTTTGCTTTTTTTCTCTCTCGATTAAAATACTGTGTACCTTTGGCTCTAATACATGTACATCCCCAAATCTTGTTTTTGATGTCGAACATTCTCCTCCTCTCTTTATATGATTCTTATTTATTTCTGTTCCTAATATGTTTCTACTCTTAATAAAAGAGAGAGAGAGAAAGAAAAAAGCTTTTTTCCAGTCAAAATATATTATTTTAGACAAAATAAAAATATCTACAGTTTATTTTGTCTTGTAAAAAAAACATGTTATTTTTTGGTAAATACATCTCAGTCTCTGTTTTTTGCACCATTTTTTTTCTTTTGGTCTTTCTCTCTAGTCTCTATACCCTTTGATTTTGATTTGATTTGATTTTGATTTGATTTATTTATTTTCCACTCAAAATATCCACAAATTAAATGACATATATAAACCATACAGTAATACAATATATAATAGAACAAATGAATTATATACAAGTAACGAAAAACTGACAAGTATGTTCGTAATCAAATAAGTTTACAAAGTACATTTATGTTTGAGAATTAAACAACATATTTTAAATTGCTTGATTTAACTTTTTCTTTTTCATACCTTTTTTTCTTTCTTTTCTTTTATATCTATCATTCTTTCTCTCTGTTAAAAAAACTTTTTTCCTATTTGAAGCATTCACAACCACTGTGGACTTTCTTTCGTAAAGCCTTGTTAAGAGTGCTGATCATTAAAACAAAACAAAATAGATACATGTTTGATAGTTCTCATCACCTCACTTTTTAATCGCTTATTTTCCTGCAGATCATCACAGGTATGCAGTCTTCTGCCTGCTGAAGATAGACACCCAAATCTATGCCACTCAACTGGTATCTAATATAGACAGGACAGCAACAGATGTCAACTTCAAAGATGTCATTGTCTTGTAAGTTTATGTTTATTAATCATATTCTATATTGAAGATATGAACTTATTCTTGGTATTTATACAAAATCAGTCCAATGTGTTATGATAACAAAAATACATAGAGTGAAGTATTCCCCCCCCAAAAAAAAGTATTTATCATCGACTGTTTATTGTCTCTTGTATTTGTATTTAAGAGCACTTAATCTGTTCTTGTTAAGCTCATGACTGTTCTAAAGTGATATGAAACAAATAATGCTTGCAAAATCTCATATTTCTCAATGTTGAATTTTCTTGTTTCTTTTTATTGACAAATAAATAAATTGGACTGTCATGTTTGATGTTGTTTTGCAGTGATAACGTGAAGCCAGATTTCACCTGTATCCTAGAAGTCTATTCATACAACCTTCACAATGACATGACGATAGCAAGCACACCACAGAAGATCAGACGCAAGTTGAGCGCCCTCTCTGCGTCAGTGGGACGGCGGGGAAGTCTAGGTCACCGAACACAGGTCAACTCAACCAGTGGGGTGAGTATGGGTGCAGGGGGGTGTTTCACAAAGATCCTAAGTTGAACTTATCTCTAAGGTGGACTTAAACATTATGGAGAGCCACTTGTAGCATTAAAATAAAATATATTAAAAAGCAAAAGTTCAAGTATTTTAGAATTTTTATAAGTGGCTTGATTGCTTGACTGGAGATGTGCAGGTCGTGGATTCAAGCCCGAGCATGGCATTGATCTTTCTTTACCACCCTTGTCAGAAGTAAAAGTAATGGGTACCTGACAGGCTAGCTAAAGCTGATGTATTACCTATCGTATATGGCCATCTGGAGGGCTACTGCATCATAAATAGGAGTGTTACATATGAAGACAGTGTCATTTTTAAAATTTAATTTAGGTGTTTTGGGAAGGTGTACAATTAACGTGAAATGCGTACATTGCTGATTTATCCACACATATTACTGATAAAATCAATAATCGTGGAAACATTTGCTTTCCTAGTCAACACCATAAAGTCGATTGGTAATGAGTCTGAGCTCTGATGATTGATTTGCCTGACTGCTAAGAAAGCATTTATTTGCTTGTTTCTTAGCAAATAGGGGACCTATGGCTTTGAGTCCTCTCCAAGGGACTTGGTAATGAGGATAGATGCCTTACCAAAGGTCACGAACTTGGGACCTCTTAAGTAAAATACCACTGCTCTACCACTAAGCCATTGCGCCTCCTCATTTATAAACTTGTCACCTTGATAACATCTGAATATTATTTGATCTTATAGTCCACTGAAGAAGAGCAGAATGAAGGGCCGAGGTACAGCTTAGTAGCCAGAGCTAGACTGAGGTTACAGCAAGTCAGTGATCAAGTTCAGACATTTGATCTCAACACAGAGAACGGTGAGTAATAATAATATTCTGCTTTTATACGATACCATATTTTATAACGATGTCTCTAAGCGCTTCTCAGATATATTATTACCCCGGTCATCGGATTCAGACTTCCTGCACACAATGCATGCACATTCTCCACTCCCTTGGTAGCATTCCAGCGAGGCGTCATTTTACAGACGCTCACAATGCTGAGCAAACTACATTAACTTTCGCATCCGACCGGGTACCCATTTAACACCTGGGTGGAGAGTGGCAAATGTAGATTAACGTCTTGCCAAAGGATGTTAGTGTTCGGCTGGGATTTGAACTCAGTACCTTGTGACCTGCATTTGGGTGAATTATCCACTAGACCACAGCACCTCTTTAAATCACTTTGGAACAACGGTTGATTGTTACCATTTTGTAACGCAGCATGATCATGAAAAAATGATTATTCAGCAGTTTACCTAGCGATATTTCATCAAAGAGAAGGGATTAAGGATTAGCCTGTCATTAAGGTGGCGTTGGGTTTAACATAATGGTTATGTTTAATGTCAGGGTTAGGGTAAGCTATTGTATATGGTCTAGGGTTGAAGTTAGATGTTCTAGTTGTGTTTGAAATTGAATGCACAGTAATTGTTCCTGAAAGGTATATATATTTATTTATTTCTTTTGGAGGGGGGGGGGTAATTATTCAGATACACAAGAAAGATAATTTAGTTGAAAAGCTTCTTCTGGATATCTTTATCTCCTGTAAATGACAACTCCTCATTACTTAATGACGTATGTGAAACAGCTTTATACAATAGATTTGTTTTCTGTTTTGTAGATGATAACACAGCACACCAGCTGCAGTTGTTTGGTAATATCTGTTGTCGACTAGCTGCTCAACCACTGTGCACGGTAGAGGAGAGCATGTCGGGGTACCTTTCCAGTCAGGTAAGACACTCTGCAACAGTTGTTTTTAAGATAAATTTCCTGATGTGAAAAGAACCTGTGGATTGCAAGCTCAGAAGAAAAAGAAGAAATTTATTCTGTGAGGAATGCTACTACCCTGTTAAATACAGTTTTATTTTGGTAACACACTTTTTCCATAAATTCTAACTAGAGTTAATTTCAGGTTTAGTATCTTATGTGTTCAGCCAATCATCTTTGACCAAAGATATGTATCGGTGTCATTCAGTGACACCGATAATTAAACAACAAAAAACACTTAAATTTATGGGATCGTTTTCTACCCTAATAGTTTTACAAAAAAAGTGAACAAAATTGTATTTTTTTTAAATCCCTTTGACTTTTACCATCCCATGTATTTTGCTTGTTTCGTCAAATGAACATCATTTCACAATCTTGGATGACACTAGAGATAGAGAAATGGCTCGTTCATTCAACCCTCTTGATTTAATTGTCCATTCTGGCTAAATCTTAACTGTAAATGTACTTCTCTTATTACTGGATAAGTTTCAAGGTAAACAGGTATCATAAAAACTTTGGTGTAGATTACAAGGTTCTCATCTTACATGCTAGAATGATCCTACAAATAGGACCTAAAGAAAACACTGAAGTGTTGCCAATTTTATATTAAGAATGCATTAATCTATTAAATTATCCTGTCGTTGATGTACTTCTCTCATTACAGGATGAGTTTCAAGGTAAACATATGTCAAACGGACTTTGGTATAGATTACAAGGCTCTCATCTTGCATACTAGAATGATCCTACAAATAGGACCCAAAGAAAACACAATTTAATATTAAGAATGGATTAATCTATTAAATTATCCTGTCGTTGATATACTTCAGGATGAGTTTCAAGATAAACATACAAACTTTGGTGTAGATTACAAGCCTCTCATCTTGCATACTAGAATGATCCTACATATACATGTAGGACCTAAAGAAAACACTAAAGTGTTGCCAATTTTTTTGTTAAGAATGCATTAATTTTTTAAAATATCCTGTTGTTGATGTACTTCTCTTATTACAGGATGAGTTCCAAGGTAAACCAGTATCAAACAGACTTTGGTGTAGATTACAAGGCTCTCATCTAATTTGCTGGGATGATCCTACGGAAGGAAATCTAGGGGAACCATCCATGACTCTACAACTCAGAAAGGTATGTAATCTCTGAAGATAAAATTCTGTTTCTCTTCCTGATGAATTGAATTCATTATTAACTTTTAAAGGCCATTTTGAGTTCTTGTAATGACAAAAAAACTTAGACTTCAATAAACTGGAGATTCCAACTAAATTTCATAGACAATAAATAAATTATTTTTGCGGAGCGGTTTGATAGGAAAAGTAAAAAGCTAAGGAATAAGCAAAGGAAGGTCAGAACATTCAGGTCAGTTGAGTAAATCGTCAACTGTGTTGGTATCAGTTACTTCTTTTTACATACATGTACGTATGCTTTTATAGGAAGAATTAGTATTTTCAATTTTGTTTTCTTTGTCCAAATAACCTATATGGTTTTATTTATCACATTAATTACTAGGACAGTATTTGTGATATTTTGTAGAGCGAGTGAATCCCAAATCAAACCTTGTTCTCATTCTGAAAGCATAATGAAGAAATAAGAATTTTAACAATATCACTGGTAAGCCCAGACACTGTAACCTCTAATAAAATTAAAGATAGAGACCTTGTTGTTGTTCTACTTCAGAACTCTTCAGCGGTCCGATCAACGTGCTGCACAGACCCACTGTCGTTTGTGATCGGCGGTTGCGGTGACAATCCTGACAGAAAACGTCCATTCATGGCAGAATCAGAAGAGGAGCTAGAAATGTGGCTAAAAGGGTTTGAGCAGCAACTAATCAACATTGGTAAGTCATTTCAGGAATGGGAAAGTCTTTTGGGAAAATAACATTTTCCTTTCGTTCTTTTTTTGTTCAAAGTGTTCTCAAAATAGGGAAATCTTTTCCGGAATGGAAGAATTCTTTGGAAAGCAGGAACTTCTTACAACTTATGACAAATTCTTAAAAGATTTAGGGTGTTTCTAATTCATGACTTGTTCCAAAATGTGTGGAACCTTATTTTGCTTGTTTAAAGTAAGTACGACTCGTAAAGGACCAATGCTTCTATCCATCTCAGAGATGTTGATGTGCCTTCTTTATAACTGATTAAAAAAGTAAGAACAGGTTCACTTTATATGCTTTGTCAATGGTTGAAGTTGAAGGTCTAATTGAATTGACTGATATGATAAGTATACACTGTTGTTATTGAGCCCAATTGACCTAAGAATTGAAACTTGTTTTCAGCATGTCTTTGTTATGAAGGAATTCACGCTATTTATTTATTTATTAATTAGTAACACAGCATACTGATGAGTCATCAAAATATATCATGAATGGGGTATCAGTTCACAGTATATTTTTGAAGATATTTTGCACCTCCTTAACTGTCATGTGTTGCATGATGTGTGCTTTGACTTATTGAATGTTTTTTCTTCTTCTCTGCAGAAACTTGGTCTGAGTGTTGTCACCAGAAGATGAAGATCTACTCCCCCTTCCCTGGCAGATCAGATCTGGTGCTAGCAGAGAGAAAGGGCTCCCTCTATGATGAATGTTCTTTAGGTAAGTTTAGAATTTACCCTAACTAGGGAGGGGGGGGGGGGGGGGGTGTTTCACAAAGACTAAGATCAACTTAAAGTTGGACTTAACTATGGCAGGCTGTTCATGCCACTGTTTGCTCTCACCATTTACTGGTATTGGTCTCTCAAGGGACTTACAAATCATGGTCACAAGTTTACAGAATTTACATTTTTAGATGATTCATTATTGAAGGAAAAAATATTATCTGAATATCATAATGGTGAGAGCAACCAGTGGCATTAAAAGCCTGCCATAGTTAAGTCCAACTTAAAGTCGATCTTAGTCTTTGTGAAACACCCCCAGTAATTATAACCCTAGTTACGTCGTAAGTAGTAGGCTAGTTTTTGTGACCATAGGTTTTATACGTGAGAAAGTTGATTTACACTTTTTTTCAGATGAAGAATTTAATGGGTCAATTTTTAACTCTCATTTGGAAGAATATTTCACTGATTGAAATGCTAAGAACTTGTGTTAACTTAAAGTGAAACACAAATACTTATATATTTAATTTGAATATGCCAATAACAATTGAATGCTTGTGATCACTGATACAGGTCACCCGATGGAAACTTTCACTTTTATAGCACAAATCTAAGCTAGAATAGTTATGATCGTTTATTCCAATTAGTATATGTTAACGTTTTTTTTCTTAACAGTATCGCCAGAGAGAGAAGAGTTCAATGATGAGAATGTCTTCCAAGGACCTCCGTCAGACAACCTGCGCAGTCGACGAAAGATGAGATCGCAGAGCATGGCAGCAGTACCCAGCACATCATCATCGTCATCAACGTCATCCTTATCATCGTCTCCCCTGCTTCCTTGGAAGAGACCGGTGGTGTTACCTGCAGCAGAATCATCCCCCTCGACATCGTCCCCGACGTCGTCAGCGATATCATCGTCATCAACTCAGTCACCACCTCTCTTCCCATTCGATAAGACCGTCCTTCAGAAAGAAACAACAGTATGAGGTTCAGAACCTTGACAGCTCTGCTCCAGTTATTACATAAGAAGTAAACATTATTGGGTGTTACTGTGTGAATACACCAGTTCGTAGGTAGCACACGGTTCAAATCGCCCCATATATCAACAGACCTTTCACACATGGAGATGTCCCACTTTTTGCATTTAAGGGTGCGTTCAAGCAATTTTTTAAAGCTAGCATCACAAACATGGATCACAAATCAAAACACCGTTACAAAACATGGTTACTAGCTGCGGGAAATCGTTCAAGTGATTTTACATGAACGTTACCACGTTACAAAACTCGTCTTTTTCAGCGTTTCATGTTTGCGTTATGAAACCTGTTTATTTTTACAACTGACGAAAAATTGCTTGAAATCGCTTGAAAGCAACCGTGTTTTAAACTGAACGTCTTTGCAACAGCGTTTCTAGGGTGAAAAAGTGTCGCTCGAACGCACCCATAGAATAATCACAATCAATGTGATGAAGGTGCTTCATGTATACCTTATGTTTGCCCTCTCCTCATCTCACCTCTCCTTTTCTAATCAATATATTCCAAAAGATGTTCAGAACCTACAGCTACACATACCATTATATGTATAATCATACAATCATACTCAGCAATAAGTAACTTATAACACACTAAAATATTTGAATATTTAAAAAATCATTCACTTTTATATTCTCTTCTTGCACACTTTGATCAAAATTTTGTAGAAAGAGTTTCATATATATTTATTTTTGAAATCATAGACACTGTATATTAATGGCACATATTATTTATGAGTTTATCTAGATCATGAGTTATCTTTATTCGATGATAACTTATCTTCATTTTATGATTGTTTTATATCTTCTTTTTCCCTGTATAACGCTTACATATACTATCAACTTTTCTGTTTGTCCTTATCTATTTCCGTAATTTTGTATCGTTGGTTTTCTTACATCATTTCTTTCTAAAAATGTATGAAATATTTATTTGTTAGTAATTGTTCTGCAGAGAGGCAAAACGGATTAATTCATATCATTTGACATAGAGTTGATGCTCTCCTCTCTCTCTCTCTCTCTCTCTCTCTCTCTCTCTCTCTCTCTCAACTATTTTCTTTCTCTTTTTCATAATTTGAGATCAAATCTTCCTTTTGTTTCATTGTAAGCTTGATGCCAGTCATGCAGCGATCTTCCAGTCAATTCCAAAAGACAGTTTGTTACTTGAGTGAAAATATGCCATTGTAGAAAAAGAAACAACATGAACAAGGATAACATTCCTTATTCAACCTATCACATTATTTTTATACTGGGCCTTGTAACATGAACGTAATCAACTGCAAATCAATTGAATCAGTATTATCTGTGTGATTAAACATATATCAGTGTAACACTTTGTTACCATGTATGCACTTCATTTTACAAATAGTAATTTGAAGTAAAAGTAAAAAGAATGTCGTCAAATAAGAGCTACTGATCAAAAATATGTTTTTTTAAAATGTCACAGCAGTTAATGATGATTTTACCGCTACATTCCTTTAAATTGTACAAAAGAAATGTTGTCTTTTTTTTTAGGGAAGCTAAAGTGATATTAAAAGGTGATCCCATTCCATACATCATTGTTCAATGTAAAGCAAGAAAGATATAATATGTATATTCATGATTATAGAAAAAGAATTAATATTTGAGTTGAATGTCGGACATGTACCTCCTTGTATATTGCACCCCTTCCCCTTTGGCTTTCCGTAAATTCAGATGTACTTACAAAATGCAAACATTTTGCTGCTTCCATATTTGTTTTCATTCCATATTCCATTTGATTTCTTCCAAATTCAGTTTGTATTTGCCTCAGCATCATTTTTTTCCAGCTATCTGGCTTCCATGAATGTTTATTGTTTTATAAATTGTTCATTCCCATCATATCTCATTAGGTTTATTCTATAATTTTTGTTATTACAATTTTAAAATTACCATTCATGCAGTTCTGAAACCCAATGTCATATTCTTCAGAGAGTATTCTGAAGGTTCGTTCAGATATGATGCAGTAAACCACCGCAAAACAGCTGCCACGTTTTTTAAACGTGTAAATGAATGGCAACTGCCTAGGTGCAACAAAGTTCCTGGGCATATTCACTGAGCTCTGTGTTGTAAGATACAGAAATGTGATGCCTATTGCACTTCGCGTCATTAAAATCCGCTGTGGTTTTGCCACATATCTGAACGTGGCTTAAGCCCCTCTGCACTAGTTTGGCCAGGAGGGACTAGACCTCCCTGCATGGTCACTTACAGGTGGTTATCTCATCAAATCAGCTCTCAATTAACATAAGAAAAAGGGGACCATGGGGAATCAATGATCACTGATTGGGCATCCTTTGCTTTATAGAGGGTGCAGGTAGCTATAAGTAGTGCAGTGGGGCTTTAAGTGTAATTTATTTGGTTGGAATATGCAGAGTAACATGTATAGAAGATATGTACAGTACCGTTTATGGATTTGAAATAGAAACTGAAATAGAAAAATCATGACAAGGATTTTTGTTCACAGGATACCTACTAGAAGAGTTTTTCCATTTTCCTTGTTTTTGTTCTGTTTATACCAGGGTTATTGAATGATTTGCAGGGTTCTGATGTGCTACTTTCAGATCATTTTTTGCACCACAGCATTTTGAAGAAGTGTGCTTGTGTTTAGAATAAGATAAATATTAAAAGTATTACACAGTAATAAGAAGACAAATGTCTTTTGTTATCCAGAACAAATTACAGCAATATTAGAAGTTTAGAAGTTCTACTTCTTTCGGGGATATGTTTTGCTGAGACTAGACCCTATGTGCGACTTCATCATTCCCTCTCTTGTCTTCAAGCAAGTCAAAAGTCAGAAGATTTTTTTTTTTTTTTTTTAATTTTCCAAGCAAATTAATTTTTCTGTCCATCATTCATGAGAGTGAAACCTGGTTCTAAGGAAATTGTTTTAACAAAGCCTCATTTTCGCAAAATCATGTTGCTGAACCCAGTTCTTTGTTGACCTGTTATAACGAGATTTCAATAAGAGAGGACAATTTTCTTTGGGCCAAATGGTCTTTTGTTTAAAGAGGTTCCACTGTATTTCATTAGACATCCTTTCTTTTTTTTAATCAACTTCTATCATATTGGTTTGTATGATGTCTTTTCAACATTTTCTCTTTTGTATAATTATGTCATTGAATATTAAGAATTGTATGAAAAGCATTAATTAATATGGCATGCATTCCAGAAATCAGAAGTTGAGCATGCACTTTTACTCAGCTTTTATTTTATGCTTCTCGCAATCAATGTCAGCATTATGATGAAAATTCACTTTGCCATTCCTTAAAGGGACTTTGTAACATTGTTCAGATGAGAGATAGTGGTGCTAAGGTAGTGACTTCAATGCTAGATGTACAATTAAAGATAATCTGAAAATTTGAGTGAAAACGGATCATTATTCATGGTACAAATTGGGAAAAACTGATCTGATCGATTCCTTAATTCTCCCAACTATATTATTCTACTTCTATTCTGCTACTTGTCAAAGCCTGTTCAGCATCAAGACAAGGACAATTTAATTACATTTTAGGTGAATGTAAATCGTCACAAAGCAATAAAATGGCTCTACATTCCATTCCAGACAGTTATTAGTGTTGACAGATTTTTATAGCCTGTTTTATGTATTTTTGTCATGGAAAAACGGTTGGGAAAATTCAAAAAATGGTTGGGAGAATTTATTGTTAATCACTGTTAGAGGGTGCCTCACATCGACACCTTCAAAGAAAACCATAGATATCTTTGTGGTTTGAGAATTTGTTCAGGATTTTTTGCACGTCAGAGGGTTAGTATAGTAGAAGGAATATAGTAAGTAACATTTTATACAAAAATTTAGCAATTTTTTTCATCAACCTTCAACAATGTTACCGATTCACTTTAAATACTTAAAATACTGTACTTATATGTCTAAATCTTCAATAGACATTGTGATGTTTAAGTGAATGGATCACTTGTTTTTTATGTAGTTTTACATTTCTCTAATTTAGTTCCTCCACAGCAATTGCAGCGATTGTGTGCTAATGCAGTAGGGGGTCCCTAAACACAACATTTTAATGTCAGTAGCATTTGCTATAACCAGAAATGTTTGTTGTACATGCATATACAACTTGTAAGTCATTCTATATTGATAGGATCTTTGTATCCAAGTTACTCCCTTCCCTTACATTGTGAGAAAAAAAGATCTTTGAAAAGGATCCTTTTTAAGAGAAATTTTGACAACTTTGGCATTGTTCCAATCTAACATGCAGAGAATGAGAAAGTTCACAAATTATATGGGTTTATGGAACTACTCACAAATTTTTGAATTAAACTTTTCAGTTATTTCTTTTCATATTTCAAGTAAAAGGGCCGTTTGAGAGGGATCCTTTTCAAGAGAAATTTCCACAACTGTGACATTCTCATAAACTGACATGCAAAGAACAAGAAAACTCACAAATTATTTTCTATCTGTATTAGAACTCAGATGACTTTTGGACCAATAATGGAGTTTGTGCTTTCCTTAGAAATGTACCTCAATCTGTATAAAGTGATTCCATTATAGAGATCTATTTAGGACCTGTAAAGTGTATATTTTCCGTCTTAATATATAATTGCTGAATATTAAGATTGAGTACATGATGAAATATATTAAACAGTAAATAACAATCTATTTTCAGTGTGTTTTGTTCTTGATTATGTCTTAAAATTTGAGTTTTTTTAGAAGTGTACGTAGGGCGCCCCATATTGTAACTTAAATTCTACCATGATTCTGGATTACACCTTTAGTGTCATATCATTCGAAATACATATATACTCCCCAAATTTGACTCAAGAAAAGATCTGTCAAATTGAATAAATTTCATATTTTTCTTGTTTAAAATACAACTTTACAAAGACTTGCATGTCGGATCTTACAGTGTGACCCTTGCATAGACATTCCTGAGTAAATGCATGATATATCTGGTTGTCCAATTTTCTTCTCTTTCTAGATGCTTTTCCCATAAATTTTTGACAAATTGCAGATGACAGATTCTTCCTTTTGTCAATTTGAGCTGTAGATCTCTCTTGGCAAAAATTACATCCATTGGAGAAATTTAAAATGTAGCTGTTGAATTGTTTCTTTTTTATCTTTTACCGTAATGTGAAAGGCAGAGTCACATTATTTGCAATCACATTGAGCAAGCAAACATTTTTACAAAAGATAAGAAGAAATTTAGGCGTTGTGGCGTGCGCCTGTAATCCAGCTAACAACGGAAGTTACAAACTGATTCAGCCGAGGACGCAGGTTCGAAACTGAGTCGCGTCTTTCGGATGGTGACGTCAACACTGTTAAAATTCGGTCCCCAGACGCAAATAATCATATCTGATTGATACACGTCTGTAAAAACCCAATCACACACACACACACACACGCGCGAGTGAAGGTGGTGATGAAGATGGTGGGGGTGGTGAAGATGATGGTGGTGGTGGTGGTGGTGAAGATGATGATGGTGGTGGTGGTGATGGTGGTGGTGGTGTTGATGATGGTGATGATGATTTCAAATAAACAATACAAAAACAGGGTGCCATTTTATGCAAAATTATCTGACAAGCAAACACAATGATGAATAACAATTTTCAAAAAGAAAGTAAAATAAAGGCCGTCGTAGTTTGGGGTATGTCCTGTAATTTTGAGTACTTTTTCACCATTAAAGACGAAAGTCATGGGGCATTTGATGCTTTACCCCTCCCTTTTCCAAATCTTGGGGGGGGGGAGGACCAAATCACACACCTTCCTTCGGCTCCGGCATTTCTCCGTGGTCGGGGCAATACAACAAAACAGTAGAACAGTTTAAATATTTAGTTACGCCTAAAGTAAAACTGAGAATGAGTAAAAAGTAAATTTCATTTGATGGTTCTACAGTAATATACAGTATGGAATTCACTGTCCTTAGATTTTGAAGAGAAATTCTCTGTAAAGGAGTTAAGAGAGGATGCTGATGAAATGTAGAGCAATCCCGAGAGCAATATACATCTTTCTTCGTGTAAGTATTTTTTTTTGTCGGCCTATAACGGGGTATAGCCGGGCTAAGGCCGGTGTTATAATATAATTTCAGAACACTCAGAGAGAACAATATTCATACCGTTGTGGCTATATCTATATGTAGCATATAGTGTTCTTGTTATTATTATTTTCATCATCCTCATTATAATATAACACATTATTTTGTTCGTTTATATTTATCAAAGAGCCTTTCATTATATCACATTTAGTTTCACTATAGCCACATTTTCATATTCATCTCAGCTAGTGGTTTTTCACGGGCTTGTAAATATGTTTCATAATTATATTTTTCAAATCATTCATTCATTCATTCATCACTCAATCATCCATTTATTCGTTCATTCATTCAGTCAGTCACTCAATCATTCATTCATTCATTCACTCACTCAATCATTCATTCATTCATTCAGCCACTCATTCATTCATTCATTCAGCCACTCACTCAATCATTCACTCAATCATTCGTTCATTCATTCATTCATTCAGCCACTCACTCAATCATTCACTCAATCATTCATTCACTCACTCATTCATTCACTCACTCAACCATTCATTCATTCATTCATTCATTCACTCAATCACTCAATCATCATTCATATTGAGTTTTTTACATTCATTTATTCATCATGCATTCATTCATTCGCTCATTCGCTCATTTATTAATTCATTCTTTATGAAATATAATAGGCTATATACCCCGATGACCAATAACCAGAGGTGATTTTATTTTCACTTTCAGTATCAAATAATTCATATTCATATATTTTACCTCGTTCGTCATCAGTCATCAAGCCTATCCCCTTCGGCTGCAAAATTACTTTCACTTTCTAAAGATCAGCAATATATTTGGCCGTTAAAGTTTTTTCTTGGTAGTTTTATTTTTATTTATTTTTGATTGATGTACTTTTTGTTCTACCTATATTATTCCCATGCTCTTGAATGATAGGCCAGTAACGATGGAGTGGCTTGGTAGCGATAAAGGTTATATTACTGGGGGGGGGGGGGGGGTTGCATGGACCGTACACGGGTATAAGCCATCGCTTCAGGTTCTCCGAAATAAAAAAGAAATTCATGTCAACTATTTTCCTTCTAAAATGTCAAGAGAAAAATCTAGTTTCTCACAAAACTTTTGTATGAAATCAACATGCCTTCGACCTATACTATAGTCAAAACCAGGCCTACGTACATATCTTATTTAGAGATTCAAACACTTTTCAGCGGCAATTAACACCTAATGAACGAATAAACGAAAGTCTTGAAAAGTGCGATTCTGATAAAATGTTGAAATGACTTTCTACACGAATTTCATCATATGCCTCTGACTATATCTTCATGTAATTGTTTTTTAAATATTTTTTCTCTAAAGACGTCGTTGCTAAAATCATGCCCGGTTATCTCCGTGGGCGCCGTTTTGAGAAGCCTCCACCGCAACAATAAATTTATAAATTACCCCTCCCCCTTCTCCGGCCCCGCTCAAATCAGACATACATGTACCAGGGATATGTGAGTTTAAACTCACATATCCCTGCATGTACTATCACTATGAACATGACTGACAAAGAAAGCGGACAAAATATACAGTTCCTCAGGTAGACAAAGGAACATCCCTTCACAGCTATTATGTAAAAATGTGTAGAACAGGTGTCACATGCATATTCACCTTTTTACATAATAGCTGTGAAGGGATGTTCCTTTGTCTACCTGAGGAACTGTATATTTTGTCCGCTCTCATTGTCAGTCATGTTCATAGTGTATTATAGGCCTACTGGTATAATAAGAATAGCCCGAAGGATAATTCATCTTTACAATAACGACTTCATAACATATCCGAATTCCAAGCGCCTAATCAGATTTATGAAAAAGTATCCTTTTCACTTTGTCCGCCGAGGCGATGTATACCACTCCAATAAAAATGCGTCGAGCGCCAGGGATGAGCAGCCAAGATCTTGTTAGCGAATCGCATCTACTCACTGTACTACGAAAGGGTGTGTGTGTGTGTGTGTGGACGTGTGCTACGTGCACCTGTCTTAGAGTATTGTACCCATTCGTTCCACATTGGTATACGGTACCGGTAGGCGTTACGATATCCCGGCGCAGCTTCAGCCAGAAATGCTGTATCACTACCAGTTCTGAGGGCGAATCTATAACAATCTCTCGTCTTATTTCCAATATCCACCGCACATTTTTTGATAAATCGATCCGTTGCTGGGAGGAGGACGAGATAAAGAAGGCAAGATGGGTACGTTTATTGGTCATGCATTACCGGGAGCGTTTTTCATCCTCATGTCCATCTGGTGGATGATGCAGTACGTGTACACGAAGATCGTCCTGGATAACGGACGCCAGCGGCCGCGGTCTCGCCTGATGTACTGTCTACACCGCGTACCCATGGAAGGGGCGTTTATAGTGTTTGGTGGGGCTGTCGGTTTCATTGGTGAGATGATGTACCCAGCCCCAAAATGGACTATCATCGACAGCGAGGGACATTGGAAGCATCAAGTAGAATGGCAACACGTCACCATGTACACGTATTTTGGGCTTTACGGCGCCGTCAAAGTTATGGGTAGTAGCTGTTTGCCGTCTGTTGCTGGGAAATACGAGAAAGCGTTTGGTGCTCTGGCGTTTGCAGTTGAGGGTTTCCTGTTTTATTTCCACACGCATGGCAGGAGCGATCTAGATATTCAGCTCCATACGATGCTCGTGATGGCCATCTTTGTGTGCTTTTTGGCGACAGCTGGAGAGGTGTGGCGGTCGGGGGATACATTGGTGCTGCTCGTCAGGATCCTGTTCACGCTGGTGCAGGGTACGTGGTTCTGGCACATTGGGATCGTTCTCTTTATACCACCCGGAGGGGTTCCCTGGGATAAAGAAGATCATCTCAATGTCATGTTCACTACGGTCATGTTCACGTGGCACATTCTCGTCGACATGCTCGTGCTCTTCTTCGTCTACGGTGTCACGAAGCTGGTCCTGAAAATCTGCGGCTTTTCGTCGGTCCGCTACTCACAGATGAGCAACGGTCCCGAGGAACACGAGGTCAAACTCCTAGGCAACAGCGCAGAGGCAGGAAACCATCTACTAGGAGGTAGTGAATCGGACTAAAAATATTCCACAAAACTAGCCCTGCCTTGGAAGATCATCAAAAGCAAGGGATGTAGGAGTTAAAAGTAGAAGTTTCATTATATCTGTATGCCAATCAATTTGGTCAAATCTCTATGTGCATATGTGCTCAGTACTTTCAACATGGAGTCATGTTTTGTTTGCAAGTTCATGGTACTCATTACTTTGTCATAAGAGCCAAAAGGGCGCTAATGTGCATCCTTTTACTAGCGTCTTTCTGGCTCTCAAGTTTGTAGTACTTTTGATCTGGTTCATGTGCAAATTTTTCTCTTTAGAACGAGTGATTATTCAGTCTAAAGCTCTTGCAATATTATGATTATAAGATTGAGAAAGAAATAGGATATCAATTATTATATGATTTAATTGATTTTATTAATGATTCTAGATTTACATTGAACAGATTTAGTTCACTTGATAAGTGACAAAAATTGTGAAGGCTGCATTTGCATTAGCTGCTCAAGAGAAAATGTTGCCTATTTATTTTGTACAAACGTTGTAAAAATTATGAAATGTAATCTTTGATCCTTTGAGGCAGATGGAAAGGGTAGATATTAGAAGATATTAGATATATTAGAAAAATCTGATTCCATTTTTGTGTCACATTATCATTTCATCTGTTTGGAGCCAGTCTTGATAGAGGGCCAACGCCCTTCTGGCTCTGAACAGACGATCTACATTTTGTATCAGGTGACTAGTCAGGTGACGAGTCAGGTGACGATACCAATTGTAAATCTTTCTTGTGTCAATTTACTAAAACGTATTCAACTCCAGTACTTTTGAAACACTTGATTTTGAGCCATGTAGCATTATTTATACTTTGGATGGATTTCAAATATAAACCTGGATGTTCTTTGTAGCATTAAAGTACTTTTGAAGTTGCACATGATGCTTAAAATTGATATTTTAAAAGCATAGCAGATACTTGTATAATGCATTATTTGTCCTGCTTTTTTGTCAATGGATAACAACTTTGATAGCAAGAAACGTGAATTAATAATGCTTGAAAGGAATAACAACAAATGGATTGGGCCATACACCACAATTAACGTCCCATAAACTGAAATCAGATTCTGTTTTCAGAGGAGCTAAGCAAAACTGTTGTACAGTAGATTGTACAAGCTTTGAACTCGTCCAACTCATGCATGTATTGAGTACACGCTTGTCAGAATGATCAAAATGGCTACATGTGTAGGTACACGTACATGTAGTCATGTACATACATCGTCCATACCGGTATACCCTTTTACATTCAATATCATTATTTTCTTTTCTTGAATGTATAATGTACACATGTATGTATAATAAATTATACATGCAAATGATGCAATATAAAAATATCAAGAACTACTGTACATGTATTCATTCCATGTACATTTCATGCAAGAAATTTGAAATTTGATAATAGTTTTGATAAAGTCTACAGTTTTATGAAGATGAAGCATTACATATGTTTATCCATCAGATATATTCAACTCAAGTGTGTATTCAACCATTATAATCCCACATACTTAAGGAGTATATATAATTTAACATTCAACTCATGCCATTAAATGCATACTCTACTTATCCATTTGTCTAAGACAATGTACATGTCGGCCCTTTCTTGATTTAAAGGCATACGTGTTTGTTGATGTACCAGTAAGAATAATGAGGAAAATGGGAAAAAATAAACGTGGCGCCTTTTCCACTTGATAAATTGATACTTTGATATGTTATCCGATAGGTCAGTATTGACCCATACATACAGTATTGAAGTTAAAAGAAATGTACTGGCACTTTTGTGTATGAGGTATTAAAACAAATTATTGTATTTTGCATTGCTTCTCGTCCATGTAACTTGTTCAAGGCATACTCATTTGTTGATTTAGCTCCAACTCCAATCAGCTTGTGATGATCTTGGTAGGCGGAACTGAAGGAGTATAGTAATATACCAGCCATTTTCAAATGTATTCAAAGCTGAAAATGACCTGGCAGCAAGTCATTGCATTGGCCTGTTACAAATATTTCTATTTCAGTAATCAGAATGCAAATTAGATACGTTATCTGTTGCTAGGCTAGACAAGCATTGGGGCTTGCCCTGCCTTAAAACATGTAATGTACTCAATTTGCATTCTTCCCCATTGAAATACAATTAATAAATGAATAACATAATTTAGTAAAGAGGCATGAAACGAAAACATGTATATTACAATACCAAAATTGCCTATTGCAACATTTCTGCAGTGCTTGCAGCATACTCATTTGAGTCTAGTCTGCTATATAAGTTTATGATTTCCAGAAGAGAGACAAGATCGAGTTGTCCATTTAAAATCGAGTTCAGGGTGGCATTTATGTGCATCGGACCTTGAAAGTGCAAACAGAGGATTCATGAGGGGGTATATAATTATATACCTACACATTGTGGTGGGATCATGTAGGCCTAATGAAGATTGAATAACAGATGTTTGAGCAAGGAGCTATCTGTGCATGCATGTAGAAGCCTCATACATAACAGTCAACATGCATTTGCATTCATCGCTAACTACATTCTAGGCCTATGTATTGATGCAGTGCAGTGCTATACTATACCTATCAGTATCACCCTTCACTGACTACAGTGTACTTTGCCATCACAAAGCATTTTATGTCAACAATCAGCATTTCTATTTACATACTTGTAGATGTACAGAGCAGCTTTATCTCACCATCCATTAGTATTTAGACCCATAAGGGCATTGAGTATTTGACTCACATAGTTTTATATAGAATTAACGCCCTTTTGGCTCCCTATGTTATCTTATCAAGCCTATCTTTGTGACATTCTTATACAAGCTCAATTTGGGGTAATTATGTAATTAACCAAAACTGCATACGTGGACATGCACCTTCTGTTTTTGTGTGAATGTACATTGTAGGCTCTTTTGAAGTGTTTCATAACAAAGTCCATTCAGCATAGTCATCGGCCCATGTACAGGGTACACACTCTTCAGATTTGTTAACCTTTACGACAACGCTGTAACTTTGTAAGCAGAACACAGGACAAATATGGGTGTTGAACCATCTTAACTCCTTGGTTGAACAATTAGTTTGGAAGGAGCTTACTTTCCAAGAGAGAAGAATACCGGTAACTGTGAAATGAAGATTTTATTCCAACTTGTGTATTTACATGTATTTGGCTATTGTATGTTTCACATTGATATTTGTGTGACTCACAAAGAGCCTTGACAAAGTTTACAATGAACTGGAAAATGATACAAGGATAGCAAATAATTGTCACAATTGCTATGTTAGCATCAGTGTTGCCTTTAGTAGAAAGGACAGGTGATGTCGTCAGCATGCACCGATCGTGACAATAGACCATTTCTTGTAATGTTACCAAATGAAAATGAAACCAAAGGAAATAAAAATTGAAAATAATTGCAATGTTGGAGAAAAAGGGAGAACACTCGAGGATTGAATCTCCAAAATAGTTCACTGCAAATAATGATTGTAATTGTAATACTTTCATTTTATGGGCTTAATTTCCCTAAGATGATAGAGAAGCTACATTGTAAGATACAACAGTCTGCTAAATTTTACCGGTAATCAGTTGATGTACTTAATAAAGTTATGTTCAGAATGTGGCTAAGTATAGGCCTATTAAATGTACATGTACCTCTATTCATGGTGTACATTGTACATCATAAAAAAAAAACTTTTTTGTTGTTGCTTGTGTTAATATAGATCTTTTGGTCATTTGCTCTTCAACAAGAGATTTGATTGCAGTGATATGTAGGCCTATTATTTATTATACTTTTTTTAAACAGGGCTCTTTTGTTATCTTCCAGAGTTCCTTTTTATGTCCTGTGTGTATTTATGTCGCTGTAGGGACTACTTGTTTGATGTTTATCACTTAAGCAATATATCAGTCTTCACATAATGTTACTTAGGAATAGTTCCTAATTGGGAGATAAAAAAACAATCTTTTTCACCCCATCATGGTAGGGTATTGTGACAATTGTCATGGCAACATTATAAAGCTTATGCTTATTGCAAACTAGTCACTCAGGTGATGAAGTGTGCTTGTACCATCTGGCCCCAAAATGCTTTGTCTAACGGTACACATTTTGCTAGATTCTATCAGGGAGATGACAGTGAAATCTCCCTGATTCTATGTATGGACCTGATAGAACCGTCTGGAAGATGAGAAGTGATCCAAAGCAAAAGCTCAAGAACAGTTCAACTTCAAGGTGCACTGCACATCAATTTTGAGTGCAGGACCACCCGCTAATCATGTAAATATGGGGCTAACCCCCCTGTGCAAACAGCCCAACAAACAAAAACAGCACCCTGACATTGAAGAGAACTTAATATTCTTTACGATGCATTTTGAAATAGTGATGATTTTGCAGTTCTTTTAAATTCTTCTTGTTACACCATCCATTGTGTGTGTGCACCCATGAAAGCATGAAATCCTGTACTTGAGTATTTGATTTGTGCTCTCTGTATACCCAGAGTATTCATTTTCATTCATCTGTGAAGTCTGTTGTTGCAGGTTAATGGCATTGCTGGCATAACTTGGGATGTGATATAATTCTCTAAATCAAGACATCTTGTATAATACCAGTATATGTAGCAATTTCAAATACACTCACTATGAATATGACTGACAAAGAAAGCAGACAAAATATACAGTTCCTCGGGTAGACAAAGGAACATCCCTTCACTGCTATGTAAAAATTTGTAGAACAGGTGTCACATGCATATTCACCTTTTTACATAATAGCAGTGAAGGGATGTTCCTTTGTCTACCTGAGGAACTGTATATTTTGTCCGCTTTCTTTGTCTGTCATGTTCATAGTGACTCTGCTTGTGTGTTTCCAGCCAATGCACTTGTCCATGTACATGAATAGAAATAAAAGGGCGCTTCTGATTGTAAAACAAGGTCCATTAGTGTTCAGATAAATGAGTCAGAAACAGAATATTTGCACTTTGTATCATGTTGAATAATTAATGACGTATGACTGATTAATGGACTTAACACCCAGTCGGGCCACTTAATTGGTTTGGGTAACAAAGTGATTTATTTTTGAATATTCTATCTCTATAGAAACTGCATGTGGAATTGTAGAATAAACATTTACATGTAGCTGTAACACTAAGGTCAGGCTTGGATTCATATTTATTTTGTGCAATTCCGAGTCCGGTTGTTTTCTTTCAATCATGAATGAAACTATGAATTTGATCATTTTGATGTGTTATTAAAATGAGATGAGTTCATGTATTAATACTTCAAAGTCATCTGTTAACAGCCAGAAGTACATTAACTGTGTGTTAAAGAAAGACAGTATTCAGATTTGTGTCAAATTGCCCATGGTTGGAGGCTACAGTAGATGAGTTAATGGTATACAATACATGTAAATTGATTTTACATGTAGTTCTCCCTTTTTATGTGATAAAGCTTAAAATAACAGCTTGCATGTACTGTACATGTAAGTTTATGTGTATTTTTTTGTGTATACTTATGTCATTCCGTATGTAACTTTTTATTTCATAAATATGATAAAATTTCAGCCCAAGTAGGTACAGCGGAGTTGACATTTTACAGTAAAATTGTCAGTGAAAGTGAAACATATCGTCGCTGTTTTCACGAAGTGACGGTAGTGAAAAAGATCACTTTGCGTTACGATTTTCCTCACTACCGTCACTTCGTGAAAACAAGGACGATATTAGCCTGTCATACTTAGTGAATTATCATGATTTATTTTTATCCATCTCTGATTTATTTTTCTGTCCATTTACTTTAACATGTAATTAGACCGTGTTTTAATGTTTTATGTTTTATTTTATCTTTTTTTTTCTTGAGTAATATTCTGGGTCTAATTCAGACATGTTCTGTTCATACAAATTGGATTTGTTTATGAGTGGTATCAGTTTATTTTATGCAATTTACATTATCAGGCAGTGTTGCTATCAAGATGAAGTATTTATTTTAGATAAGAGAATTAAGATGTCAGTAACCATGTAGTGTAGTTGCCAATTTGAAGAGAGATAAGACTAAGAAAAAAATTCCCCTCCAAAAAAAAATTAATTTAAAAGAAATAAAAGACAGAGCGAGAAAAAAAGAGGAACAGATGATTTTTTTTCTGTATAGCATTTTGATATTTTTAAAACTTCTTTTGATTTCCTTACAAGCAACGTTATGCTCGTTAATTAATTCTTTTTATTTGATTGACAGAGTACATACCAAAGCCAAATGTTACTTTTAAATAAAGTGTATTCTTTATAGATGGGAATGTATGCAACAAAGTGTTCCATATATATAGAACTTCTATAGCATCATGATCTTGTAAATTCACCTCGAATTGTTTGTATATATCTGTACCTTGTTTAATTATTGATTCAAAAATTAAAAAAATTCCTGTACCATGACTTCCTTCATATTTATTGTCAAAAAAGTTATATTTTGAATGAGATATGTCAATGTGAAACTATTGTACTCTGTAACATGTTTATATGTGATTTCTGTGATTATGTTTTGAATGTTGAATGTAGAAAGAACAAAATAGGCCAGGGGTGTTTCGCAAAGACTAAGAATGATTTAAGTGGGACTTGAACTATGGCATATGCCGTTCATGCCACTGGTTGCTCTTACAATTGGTCTCTCAAGAAACGTGCAAATCATGGTCACAAATCTACAGAATTGACATTCTTTTATAGTTCATTGTTGAAGAAAAAATGACTTAAATTCAATTTCTACTTAAGACTTAGACTTATACTTAGTAGGCAATTTATGCCCTTGGAAAGTCTTGAATCAGACATAAAATTAGAGGAAAAATATCCTGATCATTAGATAATTTTTTATTATAACAATAAACTATCAAAATATATAAATCTGTAGATTTGTGACCATAATTTGTACTTCCCATGAGAGACCAATGCTAGGAATAATTAGAGAAAGCAGTAGTATGAATGGAAAGTAAGAGGATTGGAATAACACCTGTTATAGACATAGTTCAAGACAAGTCCTGGTCCATAGTTCAAGGCCAACTTAAGTCGATCGTTGTGAAACACCCTTTGATTGTTTAAACATATTTGTTACTTGATTGGTATCCTAATTCATATTGCCTAGTATTGGTAAAGTCTGTGCAGACTATGTATAATCTATGAGATTTATTTCCTTCCAACTTCCGAGTCTGTAGTTTTAA